CCCGAGCAGGGGGCGGCCCCCCGGAGCTCCGCCCCCGACCCGATAAAAGTGCGGGCCGGCCGGGAGGCCAGCGCGTTCGGGTGGCGGTGTGCAGGGCGGCGTCCGCCTCTCTCGCCGAGTGGTTCGCTCCAGCCCCGCTTCCATAAGGCTTTTCCTTTCCAACTTCAGCTACAGTGTTGGCTAAGTTTGGAAAGAAGACTGAAAGGAGACCCGGGCCCCTTTCCCCGCTGCTGCAGCACTAGTCGTCGCTGGGGTCCTGGAGCAGGACGCTGGTGGCTTTGAACGGTGCTATCTTCCGTCCTTTGCACTCCTGTGAACAACAAGCACCTCGACGAGCAGCCGCAGCGACAGAGCAAGCGAGGGGGTCCCTTGGTGCCATGAGCCGGGCCAAAGATCAAACCCGCCAGGAAGGATGCTGCGGTGAGTTTCTTGACCAAATGCATGTGGTGCACACGACCTTGGCCCTCTGGAGACGCTCCATTCCTCCACGCAAGTTTTCAGGGTCCTGGGGCTCCGCTGTTAAGTGCTGTGCTTTGTAGCCCCTTGGGCTTTGGTGGGGGTGAGGAAGAAAAGTATTGGCAAAGGTGCTTGGCACAGGCAAGGATGAAGTGGTTTCTGGACGCTCCGGATTGTTTTTTTTAAAAAAATGAAGTTGAAGAATGTTGAAACCAGAGCTTTCGTCACTTTAAGTGAAGTTAGGCAGTTATTGACCAATAGGCAATGCTGAATTTAAGTGAGTACTAGTTAGGTAAATTCAGTGCATCCATTCTTGGCAAAATGGGCAGGACTTATCCTCCCCAAGTAGTGTTTAAAGATCATGTTTTCATAAAAAAACAAATGGTAGAGCATTCTCAGCTCAACTCAACTCAAGTGACTGTGCGTTTTCACCTTTCCACTGTGTGCCTTTGCAGGTTCTCTAGGAAACTACCTGACCTCCGCAAAATTCCTCCTCTACCTGGGCCATTCCCTGTCCACCTGGGTAAGTGCCATAGGTGCACAGTAATGCTTAAGACATGTTGCACAATGTCATGTTTCCTTTTCTTGGGGCCAGTCGCATCAGGCCAACTGTGAGTTTTGTCATGCAGCTAACAATGAAATAATGAAAAATAGAATGATGAAAAAACAATTTGCACTGAAGATATAGTCCCAGAGGTGATAACAATTTTTTTTAAATTTGTAGATTGACAAATATCCAAAGACGGGTTAACCAGGATGAGGATATTTACATTGTTGATCAGTTTTATGCTGTATCACTGAGCTTAGTAAATGGTGAAATCTACTAAGACTGAATGAATGCCTCATACCTTCTATTCTTTTACATTGTAAAACAACTGTCTATTTTCTTCTTTTGTTGATATGTAATTCTAGCAGGCTTCCTTGTGAAGAAAATAAAATAGCATGGTAGAGTGGCTTATGGCCATAGGCTAATAATGGCCCTTGAAAGTTCATTTAACTCTAAATGACCCCAAGAACAAATACCTGAGTGACAAACATTTTGGTCTTTCAATTCTCTATCTGCAATGAGCTATGTGTGGGGCATCGCAGGCTATCTTAAAAACTGTCATGAATCAGCAACTGGTTCATAACTCTCCCTCTGACTTCCTGTTTGGCTGTGAAAGAGTTATCCATGTTTTGGAGGGCCTTCGTCAACCAAACAACAACAATGAAAAACAAACAGAAGAGAATAATTTCTTTTTTTTAAATCGTTTTATTAGGTGCTCATACAATTCTCATCACAATCCATACATACATCAATTGTGCAAAGCACACTCGTACATTCATTGCCCTCATGACTCTCAAAACA